GTGCAAGAATCCAACACTTTTCAACCCTAAGTCCCTAGACCAGTTTTTGCCTAGTGAGCCATAGCCACCATGTGTGGGAAGCTCTGTGGTCTAGAGAGAGCTACTTCTGTGACTTCATGTCCAGTTACAGTACACTTCTTCTGTGCCCAGGCTGGCTGGTACTTTTTGGTTGTCTACAAGCCTCGACTCTAGCCCATACTCAGATTTCTCTTTGACTTATACTGTAAACCCGTGAGACTCATACACATACAAGAATCACTTCTGTAATACAGACATAAAAAGTTGTAGTTGCCACTTTCTTAAAATGCTTTATTTTCAAGAATATCCCAGAGTAGAGTATCCATATGTAATAAACCATCATGTACTATCACCCAGCTTCAACACTTATGAACTAAGCATAATGGCCATCTTATTTTTTTCTACATTTCTACCCATTTACCTAACCCCAGATAATTGTGACACACATCTCAAATATTACATTATTTCATCCACAAATATTTCTATTATATATATCAAAAAAGTATGGGCTCTTTAAAAAAAAAAAACACTAAAGTACCCTTGGCGCACTTTAATATCTTAAAAAGTTCTTAATATCATCAAATAATTTAGCAAAAATGTAATTTCCTCGATGGTTTCAATGTGTTTATTTGCATATTTATATATTTATGTAAACATATACATATTATACTTTATTCTATTCAGATACAAATAAGGCCTGTGACTTCTTCCCACCAGTTTCTCACCATCAAGATTTTCATGGGACCAGCAGTTGGCGTAATGGCTATGTTGCTGGAGTCCCATCTAGTCTCGGACCTGGTGGCTTAAACTTGAGCCAGACGCATGTGCTTGCATTCCCAAGATCCTGAGAGGAGAATGAAAGAGAAGGGATTGCAGCATGACCATCCCTGCTGGGGGTTGATGGGTTGATTTCTTTCTTTCTGTCTCTGTCTTTCTGGCAAGTGCACATGCCCTGTAGCAAAAAAACTCTCAAAAAGAAAAAAAAAAAAGATTTTTGTGATGGCCTTTCTGTGGTTTTATTTGACATTCTTTGTCTCTCGAATTTCCTATACATTGAGAGTTGATCTTAGGAACCAATCCTTTAAAAGTTTTGTTTTGTTCTGCAAAGATATTTCATTGGTTGTGTTATGTTACTTGATCAAGAGACACATAACATCTGGTTCTCTCTCTCTCTCATCTTAGCAGTCATAGAGCACTTGGTCTAGAGTCATTATTTCATTGAGTGATGCAGGAAAATATTATCCAAGAAATAGTTTGAGGCATTTTAAGTTTTCATGTTTTGGTTATTCTTTCACAATTGCCTTCCACTTATAGAAGTATGACCTGAAGTCTCTTGCTTATACCAAGCAACAATGGTAAAGAGCAAATAAAACTATCATATTAAATTTGCCATCATTTCCTAGAATGAAAGCAGATGTAGGAAGAATTCAATTACAAGTTAAAAAACAGAACTTTAAATTAAATGTATGTATTGGGTCATTGTAAAAGTAATGATGCATTTTTGCATTTAAAAAAAAAAACATAGAAAATGGAGATGGCAGGTGTTGTGGTGGTTAAGGGACTGGACTTCCACATGGCCAACCACAGTTTGAGTCCCAGACCTGGTGATGTGCTTTCTCATTCTCTTGCTCTCTCTCTCTCTCTCTCTGTCCCTCTCTGGTCAAATTAAAATAAGTAAATAAATAAAGTTAAATAACATATTTCTTTTTTAAAAGACTTGTTTTGGCTCTACTTATTTTTTTAATTTTATTTTACATTTATCAGATAGAGATAGAATGAGAGATAGAGAGAGATACAAAGTGAGAAAGCAAGCTGCCAGGTCTAGGACTCGAATCATTTAGCCATGTGGGATTCCAGCGTCCCTAACCACCATACCACCTGCCAGCCCCAGTAAAATAATGAAAAACAAAAATATGTCATGACTTTTCTGATGACCCAATATTTTTCTGAAAGTTCTCCATACTCTCCTAATGTTTCTCATTTCACTATGGACAGAGGACACTTTATTCTGGATACATACCACAGACCAGAATGTAGGAACCTTTTATTATTATTATTTATTTTTTAGAGGTTTTTGCTATAGGGTACGTGTGCTCACCAGAAAGACAGAGAGAGACAGAGAGATAAAAAGGGAGAAATCACCCCCCGGGGGAATGGCCATGCCACAATCCCTTCTCCTCCATTTTCCTCTTGGGATCTAGGGCATGCATACACACGTGCCCAGCGTGAGTTTAAGCAAGCGGTTCTGGGACTTGAACTGCGGTCAACTACATGGGAGTTCAGCGACGTAGCTATTATACTAACTGCTGGTCCTGAATGTAGGAATCATTGTTTAAAGGTTACTAAAATTGGCTACAAGGTAATATGAAAATTTATCTAGCCAAATTGAAGGTATAATACAACTTTATCTTTGAGATTATCTTTCTTCATTGGTGTATTACAAACTGCTGTATACAGTAAGTTCTACTAAACTTAAAAAATATTATTTAACTGATTTGATAAACATATAAGAGGCACCATTTATATGTCATGCACTGAATGAACCACTTTGGATATAAAAGGAATTAGAATATAGAATACAGATATCCCAAAGATGAGCCAAAATGTAGAGTGAAGGCAAAATGATGTAACAAAAACCTGTAATTTGGAGACCTTCATTATTAGTCCTCACACCTTTTCTTTCTCTCATTTTTTTAAAAAATTTGAATGATTTTATTTCTTTTTACATTTTTTAATTCACATTTTATAAACCTCACTTAATATAAGTCTTTTTACTGAAGAATATCTCCTATCTACTTTTAAAGTAATTACCAATAGGGAAAGCTTGACTGGTGCCATTATATTAGTTGTTTTCTGTAAGTCCCATACTTTTTCTAAAGAGCTTCATACCGCTGTGCTTTTAGTACATTTCCCTGTACATAGGTAAAGCAAGGCATTTTTGTCTTTTCACAGACTTATTATAAATACTAAGTAAAATAGCAAAAATGATCTGAAGAATCAGACAATAAACTATAAGAAACTACACAAGGACTGACCCTGTGACCCATTGATTAAGGGAGCCAATCCCATTTTTGTGGATTGGAGTTGAATCTTTGACCCTGTGGCTTGAAAGATGTGTTGGGCATATATACATTCAGGTCCCAAATCCCAACAGGGTGGAAAAATGGAGAAGGAATTGTGACCTTACCATGACCCATTAGGGAGTGCTTTCTCCCTCTCCTCTCTCTCTGACTCTGTCTCTGTTCCTGTCTCTCTCTGGAAAATACATGCATTCTCTGGCAATTAAAATAAATGAAAACGAAAAAAAACACCTACACAGTAATGCTTGAAACTCAAGCTGTGATATTTCCTCACATACACTTTCACTACAATAAACATAACATATCCCCCATCTCCCTTAAAAGTGGGATTCTTTGTAAGATTTACTGAAGTGCTTTGAAAATATTTCTAACATCAAATCCTCTTTTTGCTGATAAGGAAACCCCCCCCTCTGAATGCTGAGTGGTTTGCATAGCTGGTTAGTGGTAGAGTCATGTTTTCCAGTCCTTTAGACAGTTTTGCTTTCCTGCAGTTTCAGTTACCTGTGGTCAACCAAAGTCCAAAAATCTTAAATGGAAAATTCCAGAAATAATTAATGAGTTTAAAATTGTGCACTGCTCTGGATAGTGTGATAAAATCTCACACCTTTCTGCTCCATCCCATCTGGGCTGTGAATCATCCCTTTATCTGATATGTCCATGCTGCTCTCGCATAGTAACAGCCTTGGTTATCAGGTTGAAGAAATATGGTATAGATCGGGTTCTATACTATTTGCAGTTTCAGGTATTCACTGGGTGGTCTTAGAACATATCCCCCATGGATACGGGTTGGGGGGTTTATGGTACTCTCCCTACTCCCACTGTTTAGCTATGACTTCTTTCACATTTTGCACCATGCAATCATGCAGTGTCTTTTAATCATACAGGGTATTAAGCCATTGTAACAAAGTAGCCCAGATTTGGAGACTAGAGGTAGGCAGGACAAAGGGCAGTGACCAAGAAGCTCAAAGGGATTTTCTCTCTGCTAATCACTTGTTCTATTTGCCCTTCTGCCCCTAGCCCTTGCTGCCCTTCATAGACCTTTCTAATCCCCATTCTCCTGTCCTTTTAACACCAGCCTGATTGAACTGATCAGTGTTTTGATGGTGGCTTTGTGTGCTATTGACCTTGGCCAATCAATCTGACCTTGTACTACCAATTCTCACTTCTTGATGAGAAGGAATAGCATAAGTTCAATTGCTTGACCTAGGAACCTGAATTTAGCTTACTTGTTTTGGCTGGTATAGTGTATTTAACAAATTAAGCTTGAATGTCTTTATTGTAGATGTGCACATTCTAATTTTCTTCACCATTGCCTACAGACTCATACAAGACTTTTTTTTTTTTTTTCTTTTTATACATTTCTCATCTCTCTTCTCCCATCTGCTTGGCTCCTGAAGGCATCGGAGTTGGCTACTTGTGGACTATCATCTCAGGCAGATCAGGGATCCCCTGGCCAGAACACCATAATTGTCAGCCTATGAAGAGTCTTTTAAATCCAAAGCATTGCCTGTAGCATTTCCCTCACTGGGCAGAGTACTGACACGGCCCAGATCACAGAGCACTGTGCTCCATGATGAGTCTCAGAGGGCTTGAAAAAGTGTAGGTGGATCAGGATAGTCCATAGGGAGAAACGGTTCAAAGCACCTTTGTTAAAATGCGTCATTGTGTGTGCTTGAGAAACTCGAAGCAATAATTAGTTATTAGCACTGTGCTCTTCTGCCAGAAATGCCTAAATTAGCATAATAAGTAGTAATATTTGATTACACACTGAAGGGTGCCCTTATCTTATTAATGGAAGCGTTCTCTTGGAAGGGATGGTTTCTAAAGACGGTACAAGGCCATGCAGTAATATACTTTCTCTTTGCTCCAACATGATTTTCACTCACATCCTCTTCAATACAGGTTGCCAATTTGGCCTGTTCCATCTCCAACAATGAGGAAGGGGTGAAATTAGTCCGGATGGCGGCCACACAGATTGACAGCCTGTGTCCTCAGGTAAGCCTCATTGTCTATGTTTGAAAAGTTGGTGGAGTCACCTGATATTCAGGACTCTCTACGGCTCCAGTCTTCATGTCCCTCCTTTTTTGGCCATATTTCCTCCCGTTGGAAAATGCTGTCCATCATTCATGGACTGTTTCGAGTTATGTCTTCCTCCAAAAGTATTTCTAACTACTCCAGCTTTTTCAGAATTACTGCGGCAATTACTGTCTTTCCACTCATATTGACTTCGTTCTTTTTGTTTTGGGTTGTGATTTAAGTGCTCCATATCTATTTACCTTGTCTCAACAACTAAATTATAAGCTTGCACATGCAGAAAACAAGAGTTATATTTCTGCCAAATCTGTGCTAAGTAAATAGAACTTGTCCAGTAAATACTTTTTGAAACCTGAGGCTAGCTACTATATCTTAAAAAGGAGAAGAAAAGCAAAGCAAACAAAAACTAATGATAGTTGAAAGACTGCTTTATCTTTCAAGTGTTTGAATGTCCTTCTGAACACCAATAATACACTTATTTGTCTGTAGACACCATAACGAGTCTGTGGTGCTGACCCTGTAGCCTAGTGGTTAAGGGAGCCAATTAGACAGTTCAAATTCTTGTCTTGACAACTTGAAAGATATAGTGGATGTATATGTGTGTACCCTTAATCCAAAAATGATAGGGGAAATAGAGAGGGGATTGCTCTATGACCATACCCCATTAGGGGATGCATTTTCTACCTCCCTTTCTCTGTCTCTGTGTAGCAAACACATGTATCACTGGAAATACATAAATAACATATAGAGGTTGGGGTTTCAGCATGGTCTTTGACCTGCCTATTTTTCTTGAATTGTGTGGTCATCCTGCCCCTGGACTCTTTTAACAAACAGGTCATCAATGCTGCTCTCACACTGGCTGCCCGGCCACAGAGCAAAGTTGCTCAGGATAACATGGACGTCTTCAAAGACCAGTGGGAGAAGCAGGTCCGAGTGCTGACGGAGGCAGTGGATGACATTACCTCGGTGGACGACTTCCTCTCTGTCTCAGGTAATCCCCACAGACAGGCCGCTTACAGGGCCGCTGGAGGATTCTAATAGGATGAGATAAAGAATATTTTGCTAATGCCCGGGGCCTCTGTTTCAAGGGCTCTCCTTGGCTCTTCAAGTTTTCCATCATCTCTGCAAATGTGATTGTAACACTCCCTTGAACTTTCTTTTCTGGTGTGTATGTTGTTTCAAGATGCTGAGTCCTGTTTAGAGAGGAAAACACAACTTTTTGAGAGAGATGAAAGGACCTGAACAGATTATTTAAGGAGGCTTAGACTCCTTTTTAGTTTTTGGAATTTCTTAAATAGGATGACCTTTTCATATGACTGAGTCACCTGTAGAAGAGGAGGCCAAAGGCATGGCATACAGAAAGTACCATGACTTGGGGGGCCAGCAGTTAGTGTAATGGTTATGTCGCTGGACTCCCATATAGTCGACCACGGCTCATGTCCTGGACCCGGGGGCTTAAAACTCACGCCAAGCACTTGTGCGTGCATGCCCAAGATCCCAAAAGGAAAATGGAGGCGAAGGGATTGCGGCGTGGCCATCCCCCTGCGGGGGGAGGGGGAGATTTCTCACTTTCTGGCTCTCTGTCTGTCTGTTGAGTGCATGCGCCCTATGGCAAAAACCTCTCAAAAAAAAAAAAAAAAGAACTATTACTTGGGAGGCTGGAGGCCTGGATTATGCCTTGGAAATTGGCACTTTTTCCAATTTGACTAGGTTAAGTATCTCATTTTTCCAATAAGTGATGATTTGTGATAAGTCAGACAGACATGTAAGTTATTGTAATAGTTCATCAGAAGGGATTTTTGGGGCCAGATGGTAGCAGTGGTATCTACAGATCCCCCGGAGTGTGCTGGGCATGTGTGTGTCTATGATTGGGCACCGACTGGAGCTGGGGTGAATTACAGCATCATGACCCTATTGAGAGGCTGTCTCTGTCTCTATGTTTATTCTTCTCATTTATGGAATAAATGAACAAACTTCAAACAACATCAGCAAAAGTGTTAGGGAGTTATGTAGGTTTTGAACATTGATCTATGAAGTCGGATAAGGAAATGAGTGAAAGAGAATAGATGCTAGTCATAACTTGAAATTGTACTTTCTTCTTTTTAAATGAAACCAGACTGGAGGAAGCTAATAGACAGCTCAGGCATCAATTTGACCTTTAACAGGACTCATCAATGCTGTTTCAGTATTGGGCTACCAGCCAGCAAACGGGCTTTTTTTCTAACACATTTAGACCAGATCACCTGGAAGAGTCTCTGTGGGAAGGAGGTCACTGGAAACCTCAGTTCTCTTTTGTGAGGCATTGAAAGAATCAACTTGACCTTCGAAAATTCAAATTGGCCAGGTGTTGATTCTATGAAACTCACACCCACCCACTCAGTCAATAGTGATTTGACCTGCATTCTTGCAGACTGAGACCCAGAGGGAGGAATCATATTCCCACTGCTGGTGGGAAGCAGGCAGAAGGACCTCTGATGTCCCAGTACAAAAACAATCTCTAGGGAGAGACTGTCACATATGGAAATGTTTCCTAGTTACAGTATTTCCTTTTCATAAAGAGACAGACCGTGAATTCTCACTAGGGGCTTGTGTTTAAGGCTCATCTGAAAGCAGTGGAGTCAGATCTCTAGAGCTGATGGATGATTAAAAAGCTGACTTTACAATGATGGAGGGTAAGACAAGCCTGATGAGGAAAATGAGCTGACCCCGTGCTTAGTGTCTGTAATCTGCCTGACTCTCTGTTGTTCGCTTTAATTCTCCACAAAATTCTATAAAACAGGTATTAGTATTCTAAGTCCTCCTTTGAGAAAACTAAGTATTGAGAGGATAGATAAATTGTCAGACATAGCGTTAAAATCTAGATCATCTTCTTTTCACAAACTTAATAGTTTTCTTTTTCTTTTTTTTTAGAGGTTTTCGCTATAGGGTGTGTGCGCTCACCAGACAGACAGAGAGAGAGACATAGAGACAGAAAGCGAGAAATCACCCCCCAGGGGGGATGGTCATGCTGCAATCCCTTCTCTTCCATTCTCCTCTTGGGATCTTGGGCACGCACGCACACGCGCCTGGTGTGAGTTTTAAGCCACCAGGTCCGGGACGCGAACCGCGGTCGACTACGTGGGAGTCCAGCAACATAGCCATTACGCTAACTGCTGGTTCCCAATCTGTCAGTTCTTTAGAGAGACTTGTTTGTTTGTTTGTTTAATTTGGTATAGGTTGCATGTGCTCTTCAGAGAGAGAAGGAAAGTGAGAAATCACCCCCCGAGGGGGGCATGGCTGAACCACAATCCCTTCTCCTTCATTCTCCTTCTGGAATTTTGGGTACCATGTTTTTCAAGTCACTGGGTCAGGGATTCAAATCATGCCATCAGCCATATGGGATCCAGCTGCCTTTACCACTATGCCACCTAGCTGGTCTCAGAGAGGCCTTTTAGAGAGACTGTCAAGTAACTTCCCCAGTCTGAGTCATTCTCCACCACTATGTTTGAGATGACTTGCACACGCGCCTGGTGTGAGTTTTAAGCCACCAGGTCCGGGACGCGAACCGCGGTCGACTACGTGGGAGTCCAGCAACATAGCCATTACGCTAACTGCTGGTTCCCAAACTTAATAGTTTTCAACAAGTCCAGTTACAGGGAAATTTTCTTTGGTAATTTCTACATTCATTTCAGTTGTCTTCTCCCCTCTGGTATCCTCATTCTAATCTCTAGCTCCTTTCAGAAGAAATTAATCCATGTCTTGTCTTTCCCAAAGTACTTTGTTTTTTCTGATTTATCAAAGCAACTATTTATTTAAAGATCCCCATATCTAATATTTGGCTGATAGAAGAACTCAGTATGTTACCTTTCCTGAAGTTTTTACTTTGCTAGGGCTGAGTTCTAACATTGTAAAACCCAACAATGCATCTCTTGGAAGGTGCTTAGAAACTGTTTGTATAGGCATGTTTGGAAATGGGGTGGTAAAGAGAAAGTGGTCACCAATATCAAGCTTCTTTCTTATTCTTTACTTTTTAGGTTTTTTCCATAGAGCCTGTGCACTCACCAGAGAGAGACAGTGAGAGGCAAAGTGAGAAATTATCCTCCAGGAGGGATAGCCATGCTGTAGTCCCTTCTCTTCCTGGGATTTGGGGTATGCATGCACATGCACTTGATGCAATACTCAATTTCAAGCCACCAGGTCTGAGACCTAAACCACAGTCAGCCATGTGGAAGTCCAGCACTTTAATCACCTTAACTTGCAAGTCCCTAAGGTTCATTTTCTAATATTCTAATCAGTTTGAGCTAGGATGAAGACAGTGCTTTCAGTAAGAGACAGGGTTCTTACTAACCAGCCTCTACTTAACTAGCAATCTTTACTGCCCCAGGAACTCTTCCTTTGCATCTCTTTTCACTCTAATTAGAAGATACCAGGCCAGGAGGTGGTATGCTGGTGGAGGTGGATGGATCCCACACAGTTGACTCTGAGGTTTGAGACTAGGACCCAGCAACTTGAAAAACATGCACAATGTGTTTTTATGTGTACCCAAAGTCCTGAAAGAAGGGAAAATGGTAGAAGAAGGGATTGCAGCATGACCAATCACCATCTGGGAGTGCTTTCTCACTATTCTTCTATCTGTGTCTTCCTCTGGTGAGCACACATGCCCTCTAGCAAATTAAAGAAAAAAAAAAAAAGCAACACACTGCCATTCAGTGAAAAATCTCTTCAGAACTTAAAAATTTCCCGACTCATCCTTTTTTTTTGAAATGCATGTATGAAAATTTCTGAGTGTAAAAAGCACGGTAAGGAGGTCTTATCTTAGGCTTTTTTCAATAGTTCAAAGCTTTTCTTATTTTCTTCCCCCTAGCCCTGCCTCCCTGCCACCTTTCCCCCTGTCTTTGTGCATCTCATTATTCCCTACAACAAGAAAAGGCTTTGGCTTCCACTGATAACACTGTGTAGTCCAACCCCAGTGGTACAAGAGTCGTGGCTTGCCATGACAGGAAAACGAACAGGCGCTGTCAGGGAGCCAGGTTGGCAGGGCCTGCTGGAGCATGCCTTCGGAGTTGACAATCAGAGGCAGCAGGCGCTTTTCCACAGACGGGCCTTGACAAATAATGACACAGCCCACTCTGTCCTGCTGGTAGGCTGTGGACACAGCCCAACAGTTGGGGAAACTACTTCCCATCTCTTTGCGGAGCTTGAAGCCAAGCATTTGCATCAGTAAATTGCAATTTTGGCCCAGGAGATATTTTGGAATGGCATTAATGGTATTTTATGTATCAGTTTCTTCTTAGGGGAATATCTATTCTGGCAGGAAACGCTTTTAAAAAAACAGCAACAACAATAAAAAGTCTTTGATTTTAAAGAACTACATTTTTTTTTTTTTTTTTTGCCTCACTACCTGAACTTGTGTGTCCAAGTGTTTAATTTATCTATATGAAATGCAACAAGTTTTAGGAGCAATGATGTTAGCTATTAACAGTACAGGAGCAAAACCAATTTTCAGATGTGGTCTGGGCTCATAAAAAAAAAGTGAAATAGCTGTCTTAGAACACTTAAACTTTTCCCACTGGGCAGAACTGCAATTTTTAATAGTGTTTTAAAATGAGTGTCTTGGCATTAACCATGTGACAGTTTAATTCTTGGGTTTGGTTCACAAAATAGTAGAAATAGAAGGAAAAAATAAAGCTGTTAACGCAATCCTGTAATGCCCAAGAGCTTTGTTTTGTTTGCCTTTTATGTCTTTTTTTTTTTTTAACTCTGAGATTTTGACTTTATTTTCTTTAAAAAACTCACACAGTGAACTTTAGTTTGGAGTTTAGAAACTGTAGCATTGTTGTTGATAATAATCAAGTAGTTTGACTATTAGAACCAAAAGTGTGATTTTTTTGAATAACAAAAGGACATGTCTGAAATAGCGAGTTGCAAAATTCAAGTTTATCACATAGTATGGGGCAGTCAAATGTTTGATGACATATTTAAACACCGTACTTGATATCAGAGGATACCGTC